AGGGAGCCCGATGCGGGACTCGATCCAGGGACTCCAGGATCATGACCTGAGCCGAAGGCAGTCGCTTAACCAACTGAGCCACCCAGGCGCCCCAAAATCAATTTCCTTAATAATTGTAGGACTATTCAGGTTATTTACTTCATAGAGAGCGAGTTGTGATCGTGTTTTTTGAGGAATTGGTCCATTTCCTTGAAGTTGTGAAATGTATGTGTTTAAGTTATTCATAGTATTCCCTTATTATCCACTTAATTCTCCAAATATATTTGTGAGCTTGTGTATTTCCCCTTTCAGTTTTGTCAGATTCAGCTTCACTATTTTTTTTAAAGATTGATTGATTGATTTGACAGAGAGAGACACAGTGAGAGAGGGAACATAAGCAGGGGGTGTGGGAGAGGGAGAAGCAGGCTTCCCACTGAGCAGAGCCCGATGTGGGGTTTGATCCCAGGACCCTGGGATCATGACCTGAGCCAAAGGCAGACGCTCAATGACTGAGCCACCCAGGCACCCCCAGCTTCACCTATTTTGCAGCTTGATTGATGTACACATATTTAGTATTGCTAAATACTGGGTAAATACTGGTCTTCTGGGTAAATTGACTTTTTTAAAATTGTGAAAGTTCCCTCTCTGTGCTGATAATTCTCCACAGCAGCTGGAGCTGTGATTCAGCTCCTTGCCTGGGCAAACCAGGCTCTATAGTGGGCAAAACTCCTTGTTTGAGGGTCTGAATCAGGCAGATTTGCACCCCATCAACTTCCCTAGTCAGGGTGAACCCTCAACTTGGCTCTGCAGATAAACAAAGCTACTGGTTGGGATTGCTACTTGGACTCTGCAAATATGTACTCAGTCTGCCAAGATCTGTGTGCTGGTTGCTGCAAGCTCCTCTCCCTTCTGCAACACAGTCAGATTCCCAGTGGTTGGATGCTGCATGTTCCCCTGCCTTTCCTGTGGTGCGAGATCAGACTAGGAGCTCCCATAAAGGGACCCCAATGCTGGGAGAAGCTGGAGGTTCCCTTTGGGTCCTCTTTTCCCACTGGAGGAGCCAGAAGCTTGGGGAGACCTGTCTGTGTGGTGCTGTCCTGGCCTGCCAGAGGGGCAATGTGGTCAATGGTAACTGCTTCTCTTACCCTCCTAAAACAGTCTGTTTTGGTCTTTGTGATGCAGAGGTGGGTGCTCCAGCCTCATCCCCATGTTCTAGGATTCTGTCAGTGGTGTCTTGTTCTTGAATAGTTGTTAGCTGTTCTTATAAAGGAGACCAAAGTTGGGAACAAACTATGTTGCCCTCTTGTGATGTCACTCCCCTTGGTTATTTTTTTTTACAGCAAAAAGCATGTAATATTAAGGCAGGCACTTTTGCTTTGTCAGGCTATAAAAAAAGATCTGTTTAAGATGAAAAGTTGCTCAGGGCTGGATGGCTCAGTCAGTTAAGGGTCCAACTCTTGATTTTGGCTCAGGTCATGATCTCAGGGTCCTGAGATTGAGCCCACATTGGGCTCCACACTCAGCACAGAGTCTTTTTGTCCCTCTCCCTCTGCTCCTCACCCTCCACCCCCGACTTGCACACACACACACACACACACTCTCTCTCTCTCTCTCAAATAAATAAATAAAATCTTTTTTAGAAAGATGAAAAGTTGCTCAGCAGTAACACAAATACTTCACCCTAACATGTAAAAGGAAACCAGGAAATTAATGTACAAATCAATTCTTTAATTGCCGATAGATAGAAGTAGTGGGAGTATCTTTAATATCTTGGTGCCATAAGCATTTCATTCAAAAGAAACTGTCTAGTGTGTAATCTGAGTAACCCTCAAGACTAAAATCCATACTGCTTAATTGAAACTATGGTTACGTTTGGGATATGACTAATTTTGTGCTATAGTGATTCATGCTCAAGTTTTTAGCCATCGTAGAAAATAAAGAAAATAGTTTTTCAGGACCAATAAGAGTAATTGGTAAGAAGAAATTGTAAATAATCCTGAGAAAAAGCTCCTACTTGCTATTATCTCTCTTATTGATAAACTTGTTCAAATTAGAGTTGAGCATGGTTGTGACTTAGAGATGTCCTGTGACTGTGATTTACAGAAACTGGATGTTAAATGGCTAAAACAAACAGCAAAAGATAAGTTGTTTTTAAATCACTTTTCAGCATTTATGAGACCAGTACAAACTGCTCAAGAGGAAGATGCCTGTAGTTGCCGATTTCCAGAAGAAGAAGAGGGAGAATGTGAGCTGTAAAGCAGAAACCCAAAATTCCACTGGGACTGTCTTGAGAAGAATCACAGGAGAAACATGAATGATCCCACCATCATATCTTTTTAAATTGAAGACACTGGTCCTAGATAAGACTCAGGATTACCCCCAAGTTTTCTCAAAATACTGACAGGTTGGCCTTTAAAAAATGTACCCCTTTTAGCGCATGTATGGGACAGAGCTTGTGGGAAAGGGGCATTTTCTAGATAATGCTTAATAGGCTTCAGCTAGTTTGTTTTTGAAATCCAAAGAGAATTATACTTAAAATTACATCACGTAGGCTAATGGCCCAGCTAAAATGATAGTTAAAAATCAATTCCATTTTGTGTGTGTGTGTGCTAATATAACATATGACAAAAAGCCATAAGATGCAGGAAATACCCCCAACCAAATTTTCCATTGGTTCAGATATTCAAGACAATGAGTTCTACTGATATGAGGGGGGAAATTATGACAGTGCCCAGATTTGAGGTCAAGGGAAAAAGATCTCAGACCTTGAGGGAGAGTTTTGGAAAGAGTTCCAATGTCTTTGCAAATTTTGTGGTCCCCTCCATCTTCGTATCTTCTGCTTCGTGCTGCTCCTCTCTGAACCAGGGCTTACATTTTGGTTCTTTGTTGTTGTTTAAAATTTTTTATTTATTATTGAAGTATAATTGACAAACAATGTTATATTAGTTTCAGGTGTACAACATAGAGGCTCCACAATTCTGTACATTACTCAGTGCTCACCACGATAAGTATTGTCCCCATCTGTCACCATACAATGTTATTACAGTATTATTGACCGTATTCCCGACGCTGTACTTTTCATCTCTGTGACTTGTTTATTTTATAATTAGAAGTTTGTGTCTCTTAATCCCCTTCATCTGTTTTGCCCATTTAAAAAAATTAGCTTATGTGTTTTTAATTCTTAAGAACATTAAAAATAATATCTGGCACATACCCTAGATAAATGGAACAGATGGGAATGAATAATGGTAGAATGAAGTCCCATGAACCCATAGCCCAAACAGAGGACTAGAGCGGGGTTGTCAAACTCCCACAGGCCAGATATGAGGGGTCACGTGTCTCTGGATGGCTTATGAGCTAAAAATGATTTTTTACATGTTTAAATAGTTAAAAACAAATCAAAAGAAGACTAATATCTAATGACATGAAAAGGTATGTAAAATTCAAATTTCAGAGTCCATAAATAAAGTTTTATTGGAACAAACAACCACACTCAGGTGGCTTTTGCGTTACAACAGCAGATTTGAGTAGAGACAAGACACTGTAAGGCCCACAAAGCCTACAATATTGACCATCTGACCCTTCATAGGGTCAGAGTCAAGGTCAACCACCATCTGTGTTGCTTCCCTCCCTCATCTGCCTACCTCCCCACCTTGTCCCCAGGCACGCTCTCTCGGAACTCAATTTGATCCATTCCCTTGCTTAAAAAAAGAATCATTGCTCATATATTTATGTACCCCAAAACTATGTTATTTAATTTTGCTTGTTTTTGAGCTTTATGAAAATGGTATTATGCTGTATGTGACTTGCTTTAATCACTCAAAATTCTATTTATAAAGACTCATTCATGTTATTGTGTATAACTAGAATGCATTCTTTCTGATGATTGTATCATTTTACAAATATACCGTAATTTATCGATCCATTCTGAACCAAAGGACGTTTGAGTTGTTTCCAGTTTTTTTTTGCAATTATAGACAATGTTGATATGAATGTTCTTTTGTGTGTGTCTTGTGGAAGTGTCTCTAGGGAAACTTCCTTAGAGTGAAATTTCTGGGTCTTAGGGCACACGAATGTTCAACCTTATGAGCTCAGTTATGCAGAAATAAAAAACGATCCTCCTTACCACCCCCCCGCCAATCTTAATGGACTACAGCAAAACAACAGAGATGCAGAGATGCATTTCTTGCTGTCATCACATGCTGGCCGTGGCTCCATCCCACATTATGTCACTCGGGTTTAGGTGGAAGGAGCAGCTTCCACTTGGAATGTTGGGTGTCTCATGACCAAGGGGTACTGGCCACTTTGCTCACAGCTGGTTGGCTAGATTCTAACCTTTAGAGCAAATCACACAGTGAAGCTGTGCATCAACAGGGTGGAAGGCATAATCTTCACCCAGGGAGGACCAGAAAATATGCCTGAACAATAAGAAGTCCGCTGTGGTGCTGAACTGCTTTTCAGAACAGTGGTTCTAAGTCATGCACCTGTCAGCCTCACTGAATCCCATCCTTGCTACCCTCCTGGATCGTCAAACTCTTAACTTTGCCCATCTAGTGGGTTTAAGAGGGCATCTCACTGTGGTCTAATTTGCATTTCCCAAATTACTAATGAGCATCTTGTCACATGTTCTTACATCATTTGTGTTTCTTTTTGTGAAACACTTGCTCATGTTTTTTGCTCATTTTTTAAAAAGATTTATTTATTTGAGAGAAAGAGAGCATCCGTGGAGGGGCAGAGGGGGAGGAAGAGGAGAGAGAATCCTCAAGCAGGTTCCCTGCTGAGCACGGAGCCGGCTCATCCCATGACCTTGAGATCATGACCTGAGCTGAAATCAAGAGTCAGAGGCTTAACCCACTGTGCCACCCAGGCGCCCCATTTTCCATTCATTTTTAAAAACTTGGTTGTCTTTTTCTTATTGGTTCATAGTTCTTCATATATTCTAGATAATAATATTTGGTCACTTGTATATGTTATAAATATCTGCCTTGTTTGTAATCTTTTTCTTTTTTACATTATGGCTTTTTCAGTCTTTCCAGTAATAAGCAAAAAAATTCTTACCTTAATTTGGTTAAATGTACAGCTCATTTCTTATATAGTTAACACATTTTTTCTTTCCCGATTAAAGAAGCCCCTCCCTGCCCCAGTATCATAAAGATACTTTCTCACCTTTTATTCTGAAAGTTTTAAGTGTCTACTTAAGTCTAAACTATCAAGAACTGCCTATTGCATGTGTTGTGAGGTCGTGGTCCAACTGTGAGTTCTGTGTGCGGATAACCATTAGACCCAATGCCATTTATTCCATGGTCCTTTTCTCTGCGGATCTACACCACCACCTCTGTCCTTCACCGAGTTTCCACATGTCCGTGCATCCATTCCTACGCTCTCTGTTCTGTTCCATTTGTCAAGAAGACTGTCCCCATGCAAATACCACACTGTCTTTGTTACAGCAGCTTTATAAAAGCTCTTGATACCTGGTAGGACAAATATTTAATTTAATGTCCCACAAAATTTTATAAAGTTTCTCCAGAAACTTTGTACATCATTTATTAGATTTATTTCTAGGTACCTTGCTTTGTGTTTGCTTCTTATTTTATAATTTTTATTTATTATTATTATTTTTTTTAAGTGGGCCCCATGCCCAACATGGGGCTTGAACTCACAACCCTGAGATCAAGAGTTGCACACTCTACCAACTGAGCCAACACAGGCACCGCTGTGTTCGCTTTTTAAGTGGTTTTGTTTGTTGTCAGAGTATAAAGATGTAGGTGATTTGCTTATATTAGTTTATAGCCAGTCTCCTAGCTAAACTTCTTTATTATTTTTGATAGTACGTATGTAGATTCTTTTGGGTTTTCTGTTCAATCATGTTATTTGTTATAATAATAGTTTCTTCCTTTTCTAATCCTTTGTTTTTTATGTCTTTTCTGCTTGACTTAGTGCTGGGTCTTGCAGTGCAATGTAATAGTCTTTTCCATCTTATTTATAGGGGATATTTTCAGGAAAATTTTTTTTTAAATATACTCCATCAGGTTAAGTTCCCTTCTGCTCCTGGCTTGTGAAGAGGGTTAGTTTTTATTTTTAAATCATGAATGCATATTGAATTTTACCAAATGATTTTTCTGGGGAAGAAAAGAATAATTTGCTGATGAGTCAGCCAGTGGTTCTATCATCTTTGACTTGGATCTGAACTTCAGCCACATTCCAAGAAAACTACTGCCTGAAAGAAATATAATGTAATAATAGGTATTTCCATTTTCCTCCCTTCTTTAAAGGATGCATTTTTTTTAACGTTTTGGTGTATGATGTAATTATATGTGCTCAGAAAAAAATTTGTTGTTTTAATTTAAATAGATCAAGTACCTTCATTTGTCTTTGAATCTTGTGGATTACCAGCGCCACTTCAAGACCAAGGCTGGGGTATAAATTCTAATGTGGCTTTCCCTCTCAGCTTTGGGCACCTGGTGTATAATTCTCTGTGGTCCATTATCCACATACACAAAAGGATCGGTCATGCTCTACCGTCTTGGGTCACCTTCGCTAACTCAACTAAACTCATCTGTCCCAGATTAAAAACACAGAAAGTCCAGTTTATTCTGTGTTTATTACTCAGACTGTATGATACTTTTATCATGGTATATTTTGGTATAATGTATAAAACTTATAAATGAAAAACAAAGGAACTTGGGGTAGGAGTCATTTTCCCCCTAAATAACAGTTAACAAAGAAAGAAAACCAAGACAGAATAATATGATCCCCTTTGGGTATTAATTTAGGAATCTGATAGTTTGATAGAAATGAGTGTGCATTTTTGCAAAAATAAATGAGCATATTTAGGGATGTACAAATTGGAAACAGTTTTCTAAATGCTTAAAAGCAAGCTTAGGTTACTTCTGAAACAAATTTTTATTTTCTTTTCTGGAGGAAGGTATCATTCTCATGGAAACTTTTGATATGAGGAGCACATGGCTGCTAAAGTGGGTGTCTTTCTTCTGTGCAGAGCAGACCTTTCCATTTGTGGGTGAGAGGTACCCATGGACCTCAGCTTGGGTGTGTTATATGTGGTCTGTGTGTGATGGGGTGGGGAGGCTGGTCATTACTGATGTTTTTAAAAAAAAAAGGGCTCTGTAATAAAAACACAAAGCTATCATTTTCACAGAAAAGAAGAATATCTAAGAAAAGAGCTTATTAAAAAAAAAAAAACCTTCATATTACTATGGCAACATCAAATCGTAAATGCTAATCATGGAATAACATGCCGTTCTTTGTAAACCATGGAAGCAGACTTTAGTGCCAGGGTATGTGAAAGATTTAGAGTTTGGGATTTCTTGCTCCCAACATTTTAGATACATAAAAATGAACGTTACTTTTTTTTATCAATATAGATTCTGATAGTTGTACTTCAAATTAATTGTCATTGAAACCTTTCAAATATGTCTCTTACAAATTCATTGAAGAAGCTGATGCTGACTCTGAAATACAGATCACCACTCCACTGAACTAGCATCCCTCCAGTGCTCTGCACCAGGCACCATGGGAAGGCACACAGATAAAGGACCCACTGCCCACCTGAGGGCTTTGAGTCCAGGGGACTACCGGTACAACCTGAGAAGAGACGTAATGTCACCAAGACCTACTGTGTGCCAGGAATACCACTGTGAAAGTAGTTGGAAGGGTTCTCTCAGCCTGGTAGGGAGACAGCTGTTGTTATGGGGTGGAAGTGGGGCTCTGTGTGGTGGAAAGCCCGCTCAAGAAGGGGTGGAGGAAGGAGGGAAGGCTTGGGGGCAGGGTGAGGAGGAGTTGTCTACTCCCAGTGTGTGTTTCCTAGAAGGAGCAAAGGGCCCAGGCAAAGGGGAGGGAAGGCGGGGGCTGGGGACCGAGGGCAGATGAGGGAAGCTGCAGGGCCAGCAGGGAACACATACCCAGGTTTTACAGGCTATGTTGGGAAGCTT